AAAATGTAATTTAAACTTTATTTTCGTCAGAGACAGACAAATCTTTCAACTCTTAATTAATTTTTGTTAGGAACCTAAAGAATTTTCATTGATACCATTTGCAACGACCCACGATTTTGAACAACTTCATTTTATGGGGCCATAACGACGGAAGAAATGACAATGTCCAATGAAAAATCTTCACTAAGTTCTATGGACATTCTTTTGTTTTTGGTCTGTAGTTCATTCATAAATTCGGTGTACCTTTCGTTCTGGTCGGGAAAATTTTTACAATTTAACTTTATTTTTCTTTTCTCCCGTTTTTTCGTTCGTCTCTTATTTTATACTTATTAAATTTTTTTTTTATTTCGTTGAATTATTGTAAAATTATTACAAGTATTCCGTAAATTACATATATATACATATATATGGTTGACATATAAATTTATAACTTTTTTGTTTTTATGCTTGTACTTATACTTTAGAGGACTAAACAAAAAATGTATTTAATAACTTTTTTTTTTGGGTTTGGATTTTTTTCTTTTTATCTACTTTAACGCTCAAAGGAGCAATCATTATTTTCATAGAATCAATACAAAATTATACACATATATTTGTAAGTACATACACCAATATATCCTTAGGCATTTTTATTTAGTTTTATTATACAACAAGGTATACTGCGTATGTGTTTATATGTGCGTGAATAATATCCGATTTTTAGACGTTCAACTTTTTAATAACAATATTAAATATTAGATCCATACTTGATCATAGAAATTCTATTAAATATTGAATAATATACATTATGTAAAGTATATAGAAATATACTGTTGTACTTAAAATTTTATATATATAGTGTATTGTTTAGGTATTAACTTGTATGTGTTAACCATTAAATGTTATGTGTGCAAAAGAAAACAAAGGAAAATATCTTTGAAAAATTTTCTACTTCAAAAGAAAAATACGAAAAAAAAAAAATTATTTTGGTATGAGACATAAAGTTGTTCCTTTTTGTTTTTTTTTTGTTCTGGAAAAAGGAAATTTTGAGATAACAATAAGAAGAATATAACAGGATATAAAAGTCTGTAATAATATACAAAAAAAAAAAACGAAAAAAAAAAATAAAGTGGGACAAAGAAAAGAATGCCGCAAGGTGCTACTTTCTCTGGCACGTGGAATTTTGGCTCTCTTTTGAAATTTCAAATGTATTTACTATATTCTTTTTGTTGACGCACTGTTCAAAGAAGGAGAGATAAATTGAACATGCCGTTTTTATTTTCCTTTCAGAAAAATATTTATGGATTTTCCCTTTTTTTTGATTTTTTTTTGTAATGTAAGGAATGGAAAAAAATGTAGGTTTTTGTAAGGTTTTAAAGTTTTTGAACTAATCCGATATGTTTAGCTAAATCGTCTCTTACGACTTTTATGTCGTTTTATTGATTTTTTACGAATTTTCACATGCACTGATCAACTATTACAATTAGGTCAAAGTTTCTCAAACGCAGAATATTCTGGCATTACAATTATAATTGAATTTTTACTGTAGTTCTTAACATAAACTTAATATAATTAATTCAACAATATACGAACTAACTTGCAACATTTTTTAGAGCTAGAATAAGAATATGGATGTATATGTGCATATATGAATTTGAAATCTTATGATTAATTGTACCAGTAGAATTAATTAGTATCAGCATCCAATTTAATAGAGCCATAGGCATAACAATAACATGAAATTTGGCTTTTGCAATACAAACACGAAAATTTTCTTTTTAACATTTAAATACTAAGTAAAACTTTTGATTTTGACTTAAAGTGAACAGAGCCATAGTATCTATAACACTTAGTTTACTATATAATTAAATTCAGAAAATTTTTAAAAATTTTTTATAATTTTTATATTATCGGTAATTCTACCCCAGATAGCATATTTTCACGTTTTGGAAAAAAATTTCATTGTACAATATGAATTATGTGGGTGCTTAAATCTTATTATTTTATGAAATATACAAATCATATAGTTAGATATGTAAATGTAATATAAATAAATATTTTGGTTTAAAAATAAAATTTAAAGAATTCAACTTAGACAGATCTGGTTTTCAATTAAAAAGAATAAATTTTGCTTAAAGAAAATTATTGAAACTTTAAACTTCTGCAAACATTGTTTTTTCTAAAACCGAAGTAGGTTAGGTTAGGTTAGACTGTCGCGGTCGCCCAAAGGATACACATAGATCACTTAAGCCCGTTGTGGTATTGCCTTGTTTTTTGCGCCCCTCATTCCAACCAGCCCGCACTAACCGTACTAAGTAAATTTTGAATTTCTTCCCTTTTACTACTATGACAAAAGTTTTCATTTTATTTTAAATTACACGACTCTCTCAATTGAAATTTGGGACCATCAATTGATTAACTTGGTTTTTCTAATAACAATTTCTAATATCCATCAACTATGTGCATTTTTAATCAGCAACCCAATTAACGACTTTCATACTTCTTACGACTCAGGTTACTAATAATGCTACCTTACTCTACATACTAAATCATTAAGATAATTCAAGTTTAGAATTTGAATATTTTAATAGACTTTCTCTTTAATGATAAAAAATATCCTTAAAATTACCGTTTTTAAGTAAATATTTCGAAAATTATTGGAAATAACTTCATAAATATTTTTCCGTGTAAATATTTTCAAATTTTCTTTGTACATTTAAAGACGCATATTTTTCAGACACATTTCTTATTTTATATTTAATGTTAGATTGTTTCGATGGTATTAAATTCCCCAGAGTAATAAAAAAATATTTAAAAATTTTTTATGTAAGTATTAAGAATTCGATTTTAAATGTGATATAGGCAATTTGAAAATTCAAAATATTTCTTAAAAAATTTTCATTTAATACTACATATTCTTAGCTATATAAATATTTGTTGTAGAATTTTAAGTTCAAGAGTTTTGTAAAAAAGTTGATTTTGGAATATATAAAATTTAAATTATAAGTTTGAAAAACTCTAGAATTTTCATGATTTTCTTGTTGATCGAAAAATATTTAATGCTACGCCACAATTAAATTTATTATGGCAAGATTACAAACTGCGTTTTTGTTTTCAAATGTTGGTTCAGAAAATTGTAAGTTCAATAGTTTGAAATATTCTTGCAAAACGTTCTTAAAGATTTTGTTTGTTCAAACATACATATGCGAACTTATTGACATCATTTTGGACTCGTTAACACTTCTTAATTGCTATAGAATATAATAAAACTCAATGACTCCTTTATGATCTTCACTTCAGATTGAAGCTTTTTTGCATTGATTTGTTTTCTTTCCTTAAAATGTGAACCAATTATATGTGTTATTATTATAATAGTCTATATAAAATAATGTGTTTGAAACCATATTGAACTCAAATTGAAAAGCCTAACCTTACAACATGATAATGTGAAATCATAATTTAATTCTCAGCATTCTGATATTTAAGAATTTGATTAAAACACATTGCAAACGAAATCTATGTGTATGATATCGTTAATTCTTCCTGGTTAATTTTTCAAGGACTATCAAAAATTCAAAAAGCAGAAAAAAATCGGAAAAACAAAGGATTGCAAATTTTTACATTTTTATTTTATTTTTTTCTTATTTTAATACAGAAAAGTTTTTTATTTTAAATTTAATGTGAATTGAAAATTTTTTACCTTGGTTTAATCTAATTACAATAAGAAAAGGCATAACTTTAAAATATTTGATAAGAAGTATTGAAAAATTTTCCAGTAAAATTATGTTTTTTTTTTACCGAACAAAAATTTTCATTTCCAGGGGCTAAAAAGAAAAAAATGGGACAGATTTGTTTTGAAACAAAATTTTTATATCAAAAATTTTCTGATTTGAGGAGAAAAAATAAATTATTAATAAAGGTAAGAGGGATTGAACCAAAAAAAAAAAGTGGAAGGCTTCTAATTTGAAAATATTTTCAAAGTATCAAGGAAAAAAAATTATTATTTCCTTAAATTGTTTTTCAAACAACAAAAAAAAGCGTTTTAGTAGATCTCAACGGAGTGAATTTTACTCTGTACAACATAACGAACTAATTACAAAATAATGTACAAACAAATTTACATCGAGATTTTTATGGCAGTCGAATTTGTCAAGCCATTTCACAAAATTCTCTAACAGTCGTTTTCTGACAGATATATAACTGCCAAGTTTATTAGTTTTATAAGATTTATAAAATAATTTTATTGACTTATATAGCAGCTACCCTACACTCGTTGTTCGAATTAGTCTAATTACAATAGTTTTTGTCCAAAAAGAAATAATTCCTAAAAATTTGATGGTGTTTACTTTCTTCATTTTTGAGTTTTCGTGCAATCAGACTGACAAAGCAACTATAAATTATCTGAAATAAACGCTAAATTTTACGCTGAACAGGAATTTATATATCATTTCATATTAGAGACGATTTTCTCAACTAGTAACAAATTTCATACCCAATTTAATATACCGTTCATTTAAGGTGTAGGCCGTAGGGTATAATAATAATAATAAATTCAATTTCTTAAATGTTTTCTAATAGAGTACAACTGGCACCAAAATATATATGAATTATACTTCTACGATGGTAGCACAGAATGATTCAATTTTAAAACAATGCAAATTTGCGTTCAAGCGTACAAAAAATTTCATATTATGTTTATGTAGCAATTTATTAAGATATTTTAGAAAACATATCGCGAAATACTGAACAACTCAAATTCTGAATTCAAAATGTAATATTTTTAAAAAATTTAAGCTAAGTCTCGTAAACTTATGGCAAATTTTGAAATAGAATTAATTTTCCAATCTAATGAAGGAAAAATATTTTTTTGATTCTTATTATTTTATCAGTTTAACTTTGCAGTCAAAATTTAAACGGCATTCAAGGTCATTCAAAACAAAAATTTATATTGTAACAATTTAAAATAAAAAAAATAAATATTAAATATTTTTTTTTTTATATTTTTAATAAAATTCACATACTATTTTTTTGAAAATCCGTTGGATCTCCACTGCAACCAGTTCTTCCAGTCAATTGTGATATTATTAATATTATTAATATAAAAATTTGTGAATATGTCACTTTCAGTCGATTTATTAAATTTAAATTTGTTAATGTGGTTGTAGTTGTTGTTGTCTTTGTCGTTGTTGCTATTGATGTGACTGCTGTTGCTGTCGTTGCTGCTTTTATTGTTTGTTTTTCTATATTCTCTGGTATTTTTAATATATTTGATATTAAAGATGTTGATGATATTATTTTTTCTAATATACATTTGATATTTTCTTTTAATTTTATTTTTCGTATATTTGTTATATTTTTTATGATATTTTCTTTTGATTTTATATTGTTGATGAGATAATATTGATATTTTTTTTGCTGTTGTTGTAAATTTTCTTTGAATGAAAATTTTTCTTCTTCTTTTTCTTTTCGAAAATTTATTACAGACGATTTCCAAGGACATTTTTTTATTTTGTCTGTTTCTATATTATAAATATTTTTTTGTTTATTTTTAATATTTCTTTTTAAAATTAAATTCAATTTTGCCATTCTTTTCTATATATACAAATGTTAAAATGGCAGCACATATGTTATCAAAAATAATATTAAAAAAGTTCTACTTATTATTATTTTTATATTATTATTATTATTTTTATTATTATTTAATTTTATTAGTTGCTTTTGTTGTGATAATTCCATTCGTATATCCTTTTCTTTTATTAATTTTTTCTAGGGTTCTTTTTTCTTTTTTTTACAATATTTTAATATTGTTTAGAAATGTTTTTTTTTTTTTTTTGTGTTCGTTTACCGATATAATTATAGAGTGTGCATTTACAATATAGAATTTAACTGGATATTAATAAACAACATACACACAATATGGTACAATATTATGAATATTATTTTTTCTATTATGTTCGAATTTTATACCAGTATAGTAATAATTTCAAAGGATATTAATTATGATAATTACACTTTTAATGTTTTTTTTGTTTTGTGTTAATATTAAAATCCACTCGATAATTTTTTTTTTGTATATAATATTTTTATGTTAATAAAATTTTGATTTTAATTTGTATAACATAATATTTTTGATTTTTTTCTTGTCCTGCGTTATTTCACTTCTATGCTTGATTTTCTTCTCCATTCTGAATATTCTGAATCTGTTTACCTATAAAAATGAATGGAAAAAAAATATAAATATAAAGGATTCGTTTTAATATTATCATTTTATATTAATTTTAATTAGAGATTTTAATACTGTAATAACATAAAGGTCGATTATTATTTTTGAGAAAAACACAGGATAATAATGTTTTTCTTTTGTTATTCTATTTTTATTTAGCTATGTACCTACACATTTCTAATGTTTTTATTTTTCATTTTTATAGTTGTTATGAAAATAAAATATAAATAAAATTAAATGGAACAAAAAACCCATAAAGAGAAAGAAAGAGAAATACTAAAATTTATCTATATGGAATGAAAGAACAAGGTGAAAGTATCCTTTTGTTTTTATATAAATTTTTTTCTTTTCTGCTTTTTGTATGTGTAATCGTTTTGTTTTCTTTTTGACTTCAACTCTTAACTTTTTTGATACTTGTTTTAATTTTTTCTCATTTCATTTTACCGCATTATGAAGAGAAATATAATATACAAGAAATAGAAATATAAAAGTTGAAAAATAAAATGTGTTATATAGGAAAATCCTTAAAGTAAATTTTTATAACTTATGTCATTTCCTACCAGGAAGTTATGTTTCATATTTTATTATAATATCCTTTAAGTTGTTATTGTTGTTACTCGGTTCTTTTTCTTGTTGTTTTTTCCATCTCTTTCCTATAATTTCAACATACATTATATTTGTTGGATTCAGTATGGAAAAAAAAATTAATAAAAAGAAAAAAAATCTATTATATTAATAATAATATTTTTATTTTTCTTTTTTTTCAGTCCTTTTTACATTTAAGACCCCTTTTTTATTGTTTTTGTTTTTGTTTGTAAATAGCTAACTTTAAAATATTAGAATGACGAGAAGGAGTACACTGTGTGCGGTAGTAGGAAAAATAAATAAAATCTAAAATCTTACTAAATTTTGTTATTAGCTGGTAAGCTCTTTGATTCACTTCAATATTTTTATGTTATTTCACGTAGAGATTTTATAAAATAATTTCGCCATTTTATTATTTTAGTAGTTTATGTATATATAGGTAATTTTGTATTACATTTTATATTATGCGGAGCAGAGAAATGTGAGTTTTTCTAAATTTAAAATAAAATTGGTACTTGATATTCATAATGTGCATAGATTTGAAGTTTTTCATATTATAAAAGATAAAAAGAGATTGAATTTAACTATTGTGAAAGGAATTTATGTTAGGTCTTGATTTAAGATTGTTGCAATTTCAATTTCAAAATATTACAAAATTTACAGCTAGTATTTTGGAAATTTTATATTAAAATTGCAATATTTATGTACCTACGTAAGTCTTTTAATATATTTCTCAAAAGCTTGGAGTGCTAATTAGTTTACTCGATTCTTACACGTTCAATTTCTTTAAAGGTAAAAGTTACAATTTTTTTAGGCATGAAGATCTTAGCAAGAAAATGTTTCTCAAAATAAAATTTTTTAATGAAGTTGCTTTATCGGCTCAAGGTGTTGAAGCAATGAATTAGCTTTCACAAATATAATATTCTTCAAAAATTTATTTTAGTATCCCCTGAACTTTCATTCGCAAAAGTTTTATAATTTTATGTATACATTATGAACTATTAACAAAATTAATCTCCTCCGTATTATAATTGTATAAAATTCTTTCCCTCAACAATAATAGTAATTTTTGTTCTATTAAAACTGAATTACAATGTTATACGCATTCTATTATTATTTATGTACTCATACATTCAAAGACACATTGAACATACACAATTATAATGTGAAGGTTCATGCATAAATTACTATTTATAATTGTAGGTTGGCCTAATAAAATTGGAAAACATGTGTTTAAATAAAATATTTTTTGTTTATTTTATTGTGTTAAAAAAATATTTTGTAATACTTAATATTGTAATACATAGAAAAGCTCATAAATAAAGTACAATTGAAAAAAAAAAATAAAAAAGAAAAAACAATTCAATTGCAATGGTTTACCGCTCATCATCAACAGTATGGTTAGGAAATTTTACAAAAAAATAAAAATTCATTTTGATTATGTTTAACAGAAAAATTGGACAATTTAACAACTCAACCAAACAAAAACACATTGTATATGACGTATAATATGTTATAATTAAAAATTATTATAATATTATATAATATGTATATAAAAGTATTTTAATTAAATTTACCCCAAGAGTTATTAATGTTTTTGATGATAAATGGTAAACCATATTGAAATACATTCAGAAAAGGATTATTGTTATGTAAATATTATTAATTAAAAAAGAAAACATAAAACGAACCAGAATTATTCCATAAACTAAAAATAATATTGAAATTGATGTAGTTAATTTTATACTTTTTTTTTAAAAATATTGAATAGTTGAAATTCTTATTTCATATTTTTATTATAAAATTAAGTATACTAACAAAAACTGAAGAAATTCGAGTACCAATGGTAATTAATTAGAATAAAGAAAAAATACCTTTCATCGAATATATAAAAATATATTAAAAACCTGTTTTAATACTAATAAAGAAAAGAATTTAAATTACAATCGCAGTTTTGTAAGAGTGTTATCATTTTAAAAATATTACGAAATCTTACAATTCATTTGAATAACAATCCGAGTGTATAACACTTGCAATTGCATCTACCCTTAAAAATTAATAATTCAGTGAAGTTTCTATGCAAATTTATTCCCCTTTTTATATTTAAAATATTTAAAATAAATATCAAACATTTCGTATTTGTTTTAAATGTACAGTCTACTTTTCACGTAGGTATAACAGAATTTGCACACAGAAAAATAATCTAATTATCATTTGTACTTAATTATTTATGGGGTTATTTGTAGTGCTTTACTTATAGCATAGAAATTTAAGCGTTTTGTGTGAAAAAATTTTTTATTCAATTAATCAATAAATTTTGTTAATTTTACTTCATATTATCAACTAATGACATAAACTATCAATTTTAAAGCTATTTACGCCCAGTGGTATGCAATTTTTCGTATATACTTAACAAATTTATATTAAGAAATATTGCAAATTCAGTGTAAATTCTTTTTAGTCTTATTTTGAATTATATATAATAATACTAAATTGGAATTATTACTATTTTAAAATTAAAATTGTCAGTTAATTGAAAACTTAAACAGTTAGGTAAAAATACTAATATACTTTTGTATAACATAAGAATGGTTACGCGGAATTTAAAAAGCGTAAGATGTGAAAATAAAATTGGTAATATTTAACTATATACATATATAAGTAATGTCTTAAAATTTAATAACCATGAATCAATAATAAAAAACACTCCCTAAAAATTTGTTAAGTCATCATATTAGCGCAGAAGTCTTTCTATTAATGGTATATAACATGCCCACTTGTGTCTCATAAGTCATATGAACACTCGAGGAAAAAAATTGGGTGATTTTATTCCAGTAAAAGATTTTATATTTTTTTGAAAAAAATACCTAAGTGTCCAATGTTTATCATTTAAATTTTTAAGGTTAGATGCAGTAAGTATAGGAGAAGTTTCATTGAAATAAGCGTATCATTCGTAAGTCTTTCCTCAAACTCATTCAAGAATAAAAACTAATGTCTATTAACAGAAATTTCGATCTGAATATTTGCATGTTTTTTGTACATATTATATTTGATTTTCTTATTGCATGTTGATGATTCACTCGTAATTTCTCCGTATACTTTCTCGTAATTTTAAACTTTAAAACTTTATTATTATAAAATGATTCGAATAATACTATTTAATTTTATAAAACCATTGCACTAATTTCGTTAAATTATAATAATATTATTTTGAGGCATGTCTGAATTTAACTCCGTTTTCTATCAACCACTTATCAAATTTTTTGAGAAAATTTTATTAAGATAAATATGAAAAATGTACTCAAAAATCTATTAAGCATATAAGTTAAAGATGGAAGTTTATGCGCCGGTGAGTAGTGTGGAAAACGCACCTATCTTTTGGTCAGAGATCTTCTGCGGAATTACATACTATTCGTTGGAAACTTAAAAAGAAATCAGGGGAGAGTAGGTAGTAGCCCTGGTGAAGTCTTCCGAGACTGCGGCAGGCCAAGAGACTTCTGAAAGATTATAATCAGAAGCGATTTAAGGAGATTATAGTGATGGGTAAGAATCAAATGCGAATCCTCACTGGGGTTTTGTCGGGTCACTGCAGAATTAGAGGGCATATCAACAGTCTGGGCACGTAAAGTGAATAAGCTTGCAGGTTTTGTGGGAAAGGTGGGAAAACTCAAGTACACCTTCTAGGAGAGTGTGCTGCTCTAGCTTGCAGGAGAAAAGTAATACTGGGAAACTTCGCTCCCATGGCGGCAAAGCTACGGTTTTCTGCGCTTCATAAGTTGCTCTAGTTAATCAGGGCGGTAAATATTGAGCGGTAGCTCTAGGGTCATGTCCCCGCACCAAGAGAGGATGATATAGATCCCTATACGTTATCGCGGCAAGACCCCATTCTTACAAATCTACAATCTACAAGTATAAAGTATTTATGATATACTATGCCAAGTTTAATTAAATTTTCATCATAAAAATAGAAATCTAAGAATCAGTTATTATACTGAAAATAAAACTGTCTGCGAATACATACAGAGTATATTTGTATAATCTATTTGTATAATCTAGAGAACATAAAGGACATAATCTATGTATAAAGGATAAATTCAACAAAGTTATTGATGCAGTGCACATAGCTATAATATTGTTGTACATGAATATTAAGGTACACAGAAACCTTACATCCTTATGTTGTTTAAATTACATTAAATTAATATTATTGTCGTGGTTAGATAAAAATTCTTGTTGATTTTTTTTAACTATCTCACTTTTTTTTTCTCTTATGTTTCTAATATTTTTTATTTTTATTCAATTTATCCCATAATAGTCTAGCTCAACATGATTTTAACTTTGATTATTAACACAATACTACAAAATATTTATTTCATGTTCAATAGATTTTTTATTTTATA